GATATACATAAATAATGGAAAATGTTCAAATAAAGAAAAGAATCAAAATGGAAAGAATGAAGAAATATATTGTGAAAATGGAAAATACATCAATAATAATAAATGTATAGAATGTTCAAAATCAGAAATATGTCAAACAAATGATATTGAAATAAAATGTAAATATGAAGAATATTTAGATAATAATAAATGTATAAATAAAACATGTGAAGAAGATATGATAAAAGATCAAAATGGAAAATGTAATAATAATATTCAATATTGTTTAAATAAATCATATGTTAATGGAAAATGTGTTGAATGTTTAAATACATATTCACCTAATTTTAAAGGGGAATGTATTAATACAAAAATAGAATATTGTGAAGAACAAAATACATATGGATGTAAAAGATGTAAAGAAGGATATTATTTAACAAAAGATAAGAAATGTTTAAAATGTGATGATAAATGTGAAACATGTTATGGAATATCTACATATTGTATGAGTTGTTCTAATGATAAATATTTAAGAAATGATAAAACATGTCAATCAAATGAAGAATTAAATGGAACATGTTTACAAATATTAGCAGATGGAAGTGGATGTGGAATATGTCATAAAGGATATTATAGAAATGGGAAAGGATGTTCAAAATGTGAAAAAGAATGTTTAACATGTAATCAAAAAGATAAATGTATAAAATGTGGAGAAGGATATTTTATGAGTTCAACAGGAATATGTAAATCAACAACAACAATTAAAGGATGTAAAGGAGAAATAGATAAAGAATATGGATGTAGAGAATGTTTAACAGGATATTATTTAATAAATAAAGAATGTTCAAAATGTGGAAAACAATGTATAACATGTTTAAATGAGAAAGAATGTAATAAATGTGAAGAAGAATATATAATAATAAATAAAGAATGTATTCATTATTCAAATATTAATAAATGTAAAGAAACAAAAAATAATAAATGTTCAAAATGTTCATTTTGGTATGGAATCAATGAAGAAGGAACAAAATGTAATAAAGAAATTGTATGGTGGATGATAATGATAATTATCATCATTATACTTATTATCATCATTATAATAATTATAATTATAATAATAATGATTAATTACATTATAAAACGTAAAGAAAAGAAAGAACAAGAGAAAACAACAACAATATTTAAAATTTCGCAATCAAATATCAAATTCATATCACTTGGAGATGGAATCATAACAAATAAAAAAGAAATAGAAATAGGAGAAGGAGAAGAAATTGAAGTAAATAAAGAAATTAGAGAATTGATATGTATTGGAAATGAAAATAAAGAAAAAAAGAAAATACAAATAAGTAGTAAAGAAGAAAATGAAAAATATTCAATTAGAACAAACCCAAATATCATTACAATTGAAGGAGGGTATGCATGTGAATTTGAAATATTCATTACAATCAAATGTACTACTAAAATTAAAGAACAAATAATGATAATTAGTAAAACACTCAATAAAACACAAGAAGAAATAATTAAAATTATTTCAATTAAAGGAGAAACACAAATATCAACACGACTTGATCCAGATGAAATAAAAGAAGAACATAAAATAGGAGAAGGATCATTTGGAATAGTGTATATAGGAGAATTTAGAGGAAATCAAGTAGCAATTAAGAAAATGAAACAAATTGATAAAGATGAAGATGAAATGAAAGAATTTGAGAAAGAAGTAATGATGTTAGATAAATTTAGAAGTGAATATATTATTCATTTTTATGGAGCAGTATTTATTCCTAATAAAATATGTATGATAACAGAATATGCAAAATATGGATCAATACAAGATTTAATTAATAAAAGAACAAACACAGAAATACCAAATAAATAAGAATAAAT